TGAGGAGAAACAAAATACCTTTTTCTTCCAAGTTTATGCTAAGTAACAGTTGAGTGGATTCCAGTTTAATTTCTGATGTTATCATCTTTGATTTGAAAGATTGTAAAAAGTAATCCTTTTTATCAATACACGAGTTTTGGCATATATATCCTATTCAAGATCCGATTAAGAAGGAAAAAAACTTAATTAGTCTCGAATCTTTGATACACCAAAAATAGTCCGAAAATTTCCTAAGGGTTAAAAAAAATAATAATAAAGCGTAAATATTGAGAATATTCTCCATGCAATGCACGTTAATTTTGCTAAATTACGTGACATGGGAGTCTAAACACCAAGTTGCTTTGGGATTACATGGAATAACAAACAAATAATAAGCTAGAAAAGGATAATTGTACATTAGGTGGACCTAAAAAATTCTCCCAATTACAGGGATAGTTTCAATTTTGCTCTCAAATAATTTTTTATACTAATTTTGTCATTCGAGTTTCATAAGTTCTCAATTAAGTATTTTTATCTATATTTAATCATGAATCTCATCCAAATTGTTTTTTTTTTTTGTGTAAAAAACCGATATTTTTTTATAGAGCGATTATCGTTTTATTTGAAGAAATTCTAATAAAAAGTCTCAACTAAGAAATCAAAATTATTTAAAAATAAAATTAACACAAGAATTTGTTTGGGAACGAAATTAATATTAACCTAATAACTCAGAAGCATTTTGGAGATTTGCCCTTCCGATGGTATAAATTAATCCTCAGGATTGAGTCCCTGTAATAAAAAGGGTCACTGCACGCCATGTTTGTGCGAATGCGTGAATATGACATATCTTGATCGATGCCTGTGTGATACTTGGACATAAAACATGATGTTTGCAAAAACTTCCAAGCAGAGGATCAGGCAAATTTTGCAATTCTGCAAAGCAGATGCAGCAAAAAAAACTGCCTTAAGTGGCAACATTTTGGGCCAACAAGGGACAGTGAGAAGCTGACTACTCACTCCCTTTTGTTTCTCATGTCAACTTACTTCCCTCGTCCGGTTAAGGTCCTGCTCTCCTATGGCGTTTTTTTATCGGATAAATAATTTACGGGTTTAATATTTTTGTCAAAATACAGTGCAATTACCTTTATATCAGAATAATTTGTCCTTTGCTTACGACTTTTGTCAATTATTGACTGCCCCGTCAGAGATTGACCATGCACGCGTAACCAGTCCTTTTCTTTGTAATGTCCAAATTGGCCTTCGTCCAAGCCCTTATCTTGGCGGTGATCGGTCCCCTTGTCTGAGGGTGCTTTGGACAATGCGATTGTTATTGCTCACCGTCCAATACGAACGCGCTTTTGTAGCTGTGTCTGGCACATTCCAATAATGGGCTGGACTGTCATAGTCCGACTCATAGCTCTGCAGTGCATCGTTGAGAATCTTTTATCATTTTTCCTCCCTCTTTTCTAACAATTAGAGCGTTTTCGGAAGTTCTCCGTTTTGAAATTACTTGTTTTTCAATCGATTCTTACATAAACTATTCATGTCCAAACCAATAAATTTAAGTTATTTTTCATTTAAAAAATTGAAATTGCTTGTTTTTCTATCGAATCTTTACATAAACTATTTATGTCCAAACCAATAAATTTAATTATTTTTTATTTAAAGAATCTCCTCATTTTATTGTACTATAAAATACGAAAAATATTAACAAAAATCTGAAAAAGGATCCTATTGAAAATGTAAACGTGGAAAATATTTGAAATCTAATTAATAAAAGTTATATAACTGGAAATGAGTATATAAGTAAGCAAATAGATTGGAGATTGTTTTTTTTTTTTTTTAGTTTTAATTTGGGTGTTTTTATATAATTCTGTGTGTCAAGATTAGTTCTTTTTCAACCTGTTGTCATAAAAATTGTTTGTATAAAAATCAAATATATTTTGGAGAATTATTTTTCCAACCAGTCATTTGATAACAAGACTACTTCACCATTCGATCCAACACCCAGAAGATTGCAGGAATTTTTTTTTTTGGTATAAAAGAATGAGAGGGTAATTTACGATTTTGGTGTTTTAAGATTCTGGTAGATGAACTCAGGAAGCTGGGAACATTAATAGATGGTAAACAGGAAAAATGTTCTGAAACCTTAGGTTTGTCTAATTTCAACGTTGGAAAGGGATGAGTAGTTGTCAATAAATTCTTGTTCTGCAATTACTGGACAAGGTTTTGGTGAAAGGTGATGCTTTGTGTTACAAATATGCCACTTACATGATACATCCACTCGCCTGAGCTTTCTCAATATTAATGCATGCCTATTTGACTGTCTTATTGATTGAACAACTTTTTCTACATTATCTGTTATGGAAATGACAAAACACAAGACAGTGAAAATTTCCTCTGTCAGACGACTCTTACCCACTTGTCGTTTCAACATTTTCTTGCTCTAGCTAGCTATCAAATGTCATCGAAGGATTAAGATGCCTGCCACGCAACCATTTTCTCAGACAGGCATTTACAGGTTCCCTTTGTTGTATCGTATTTCTGATTCATCTCCAGTCATTACTTGTATTTTTTACACATTCTCTAATTAGTAAAACCGAAAGATATTTGTATTCATTAAACAAGACTCATAGCTTCCAAGGGCTGTGGTCTTAGTTGTTTTTTAACATTGACCTGCGCATTTTGTAATAAAACACTATTACATAAGACCTATGGTGGGAGTGAAGATGCAAGATAAAGCCAAAATAATCCAGGTCTGCTTTTGCCTAAATATGTGGTGGACCATGCGCTATGCTATGGTTCCGATTATTTTTAAAGGGCGGAATGATCCATCATTAATTTTTTTTTTTTGTACAACTACTCTTGTTTTAGCACGAGAATCATTTCATTTTTGTATAAAACTATGCATCTTTTTCTTATCTTAATTTCAGCAACTGGCAAGCAAAAATATTTCTTGAATCATTGCTAGCTTCATTTGAAGTTGCGGAATTGTTTGCTCATGGAGCGTGAACATACGCCAAATTTACTTCCAACAAATTTGAGTCACGTTGCATATTGCACAATATAGTGCTTATGTTCATTGTTTCATAAAGAAAATATCTTTTGACATAAATTAAGACTTCAAAAATAAAAACAAATATTTCTAAAAAAAAAAAACTAAGGAATGAATCAATTGAAAAACTAAGTAATGAATCAATTTTTCAATTATGATCTCCTTACGTTTAATGATTAATAATATTCGAAAACTACGTATTTTAATAATTTCGATTGTCTTTGAACTGATTAATAATAAAAAATGAAATATAAAAAAATCAAACGGAATCCTTGTTCTTTAGAGAAGAAAATTTGGAAATTAACTTTTAATAGTTTTCTAGTTTTTTAAGAAAAAAGAAAATAAAAAAGCTATTTTTAAGAAAACATCTTTCCTCGTTTATTTCAAATGAGTTTATTGAGTAAAATAACAATATTGAAAAAAAATCCAACACGCGCTAAATACGGGAATGAGAAATAAAACGAATGTGGACAATCCAAACCCGATCCCGCAAAACAAAAACGGTTCGTGAGAGAGTGAGAGAGAGAGAGAGAGAGAGGAGGAGCGTCCCCACATCCATTGAAAAGCAGTGTAGCTTAAAGCAGAAACACAGTGGATCCCACACCCAACACTCACTGGTCCCCACACCCTCTCCTCTCCCTCAGCAATACAAAAAAGAAAAAACTGGAACGCTACTGCACTAGTAGTACTGTACCGCTCTGTTGCCCATTCATACAAAGCAGCTAAAGAAAAGCAAAAGCAAATACTACTCCCTGCAACCATCAACGAAAGCTTTTCTGGCAGTAGAGCCAGCCTATAGCAGCATTAGAGAGAGAGAGAGAGAGAGAGAGAGCAAAATTTGGAGAGAGATTAAGAAGGAGAAGCAGTGTTTTCTTATCAATCAGAAACCTTCAAATTTTTTACAGATTCATTTCTAAGCTTCTACAAAGAGAGAAACAAGAAGAAGAAAGAATTCCAGCTGTCTGTTCCTCTGTCTGTCTCTCAGCAGAATTCTGCCGTACAAGATTCTTATTCATTCTTTGTTTTTTTTTTTTTTTTTTTTTGAACCGGTGCGTTTTTTATTTTTATTTATTCATTTTGTTCTGTTCTCTGTGTTTCTTTTTAAATGTTGTTAGGTTCCTTCCTTGGTTTATTCCTTTTTCTTTGATTAATTTCTTTTTGGGGTTTCAAGATCTCCGACTGCTTCAGAATTTTGGGTTTTGTTTTTTGTTTTTTTTAAAATTTTTTCTTTTATTGTGTGGAATTGAAGGGTTTTTAAGGTAAGGAATGATGTGATATTTCTGCTGCTGCCAACCGGAATAATCGCAAAGCAAGTCCATAGAATTTCCCATGTATTTGCCTTTTGTTTCTTTATTATAGTTGATTGTGAAAGAAGTTAAGGATCTTTTATTTATTTATTGAATTTTTAGTCGCTTGATCTAGTCATATTTTGCAAGTTCGGGATTTTTTATTTATTATTATTATTATTTTTTTGCTCAATTGCCTGTACGAAACGGTTAGTGATTATCTATTTTGGTTAATGACATTTCCAAAGTGTTATTTTCTGGCTGTTTAAGCAAGAAAATATAGGAAGAGGGGGCAAATGTCTGTGGACGGATTTACTTTTCTTCTGGCATAAGTGTGTTGTTCAAGTATCTAACAACTAGGAAAGAATAAAAGAGATTTCTGAATTGAAGATTAGGTAGTAGAGTGGGTTGTGGGTGAATTACTTCGAGATTTTTTTTTCCCGAAGAAAATTTTGATCGATGATATCCGTATTTTTACATTTGTTGATTGTGCTTGAACAAGAGGTAATCATATTATGTTTTTCCAAGGAATAGCATGACATTGCGGATTATGTTAGGAGAAATAAATAAATAATGGGCTGTTCAAAGTGAAGTGCGTAATGATTAATGGACTCTTTGATCTACATTTGCAGGTTTATTGGCTGAAGGATCATTCCATGTAATATTACGTAGTTTGTAATATGGAAAGGGTTGCAGAATCAAAGGCACTTCCTGTGAAATTGCCTGTTGTGAGTCAGGTAACGTCAAATGCTTATGTAGTGTCTGGGAGACAAGCAAACCGGGCACCAAAGCTTCAGACAGGCCTGGTAAGAGACGTGGTGGGACGATTTAATGCACAACAATCCCAAATTACAGACTTTCCTGTGCCTGTTAGACCTTGGAAAGGAAAAGACTCTGCACCTATTGAAGAAGAGTTAATGCCTGATGTTGTTGTGACTTCTAAGGGCAGCGGTGATTCCTTTGATGAAGGTGGTCCTAGTTCTTTCTCTGGGGCTAGTCATCCACCCGAACCTATTGACACAGATCTAATAATGAAAACTGTGTATGTACCAATCGGTCAAAAGAAAGCCGAGCCTGGATACCTTGTGAAGAGCATGTCTGTGAAGGGGCCTTTTCTAGAAGATCTTTCAATCAGGGTTCCACTGAAAAAACCAAGCCCGGCGATTCTTTCTCCAGCAGAAAGTTTTGTTGAAGAACCTATTGACTTAGTTGCATTGCCTTCTCCATTTTCAGTTCCTCGTGCATCACAAAATACGGAAAACTCTCTCCTTCCACCTGATTCAGAAGAGAAGGAATGTGTGTGGGATGCCTCTTTGCCTCCAAGTGGTAATGTGAGTCCGCATAGTAGCATTGACAGTACTGGTGTTGTCACAGCTATGAGCATTGTCAATAGCTGTGCCAGTACATATCGGAGTGATGCTATTACAAGTGATGGCATGCTTAGTATAGATAGAAACTGTGAGAGTACAAAAGGGAGTGTTAGTGTTAGAGGGGATTCTCTTGAAAGTGCAAAGACTAGTGTTAGTCGAGCAAGTGACAGTAGTGGCCTTAGTGATGACAGTAATTGGAGCAATATTACTGGGAGTGCAAATAAGCCTCACAAAGGAAATGATCCCAGGTGGAAGGCTATTCTTGCCATTCGAGCACGAGATGGAATTTTGGGTATGAGTCACTTTAGATTATTCAAACGGCTTGGGTGTGGTGACATTGGCAGTGTATATCTCTCAGAACTGAGTGGGACTCGGTGTTTTTTTGCAATGAAAGTAATGGACAAGGCATCCCTTGCAAGCAGGAAGAAGTTGACAAGGGCTCAGACAGAAAGGGAGATTTTGCAGTTGTTGGATCATCCATTTCTGCCGACTTTGTATACTCATTTTGAGACAGATAGATTCTCATGTTTGGTTATGGAATACTGTCCAGGGGGTGATCTGCACACGCTGAGGCAACGTCAACCTGGGAAACATTTTTCCGAGTATGCTGCAAGGTATGTTTTTAGTCTAGCAGCATTCTCTCCATTATCTGCAGCATTTATTTATCATCGTTATGAACAAAGCGCGGTGTCTTTAGTTCTCTCCCTTTATACTCTTTCCTATTATGCATTGTTTCACAGCATGTGATTAAACATTAGGTTAGAAGTTGTGTCCTGCTAAGTTTTTCTGTTTCATTGGAGGTGCATAGTTTTCAACTTTTTGTACTTTAACATTAATGGGCCTGCATGTTTATAACGATAATAAATTAATTGATTGGTCTGAACCCTTTTCCTTGTTAAAAAGGTAGATCATTTAACACAAAAAACAATAATTCTCCTTGCTGTGTCAGGTAAACATCACAAGTTACTTTGCACTTCATGCTATCGTCTCGGACCACTTAGGAAAACCAACTCGATTTTTTTTCCATCAACGTTAATGCTTAAACTGTGTGAAAAATGAAAGACAGAAAGGTACATGTAGATAGATTTTTTGCCATAGTTCAAATTCGATTGCTTGTACATAGTGACTGTCACTGTGGTAAATTGCAAAGATGGAAACATAGCATCATAGTTGTTTAGTGGACAATTTCTCTTGGAAGTATAAAATTGAGATCTCCATGAGTGTGTCTGTGTCCTTCAAGTTATCAGGGATGAAACCTGGTAAAATATTAAACAAATTTGGAAAGAGGTAAGCATAGAAGAGATGATTAAACTTTTAGAAGTTGGATTAAAGTCTAAAGTGCTAAACTCAGCAGACTTATGTAGCTTCCATACTAGTTGTTTTAAATACTAAATGCAGATGCCATCCATTGATTGATGTCGTTATATTTGCTCCCCATACCAATGCAGCGATGGGAAATGGACGGTCTCATTGTCACTAGCTGTTGTTCCTCATATTTCTTTCTTGCTTTTGAATGAAAATAGCATTTTGATACAGTGTTTTCTTTTTGTGATCTGGGGGAGGGGGGATGCACTAAAAGGAGATGAGTGGAAAAAAATGTACTGTGTCATATTGGGCTGCCTAAACTGAAACCAAAGTCAGGGTTCAGACTTTGATCCTCCCTGAATCCCTGATATTGTCGAATTTTAAAATGCTCCCTTCACTGTTGTAAGATCTCACGCACAATAAGCGATGCCAGTTAACAAGAGCACTTAATCTGAATGCTTCTGAAACAAAAATATTGCTTGGTTCAAAATTCCAACTCCTATCTCTAACTCTTTGTAGCCCCTGTGTGTAGCAAGCATTCTTGTTATGGCATTTGGAAACTTGATGGAGCACATGAAGCTTCGTACTTTTGGACTGCATAAGTTACCTATTGACTACTATGCTCAAATAATGCCCCAAACTATAAGAACCTGATGTTAGGTTTTTGCTAATTAAACGACAATAAGTCATTGACTATGAAATGGAGGGATCCCTCTGGAACCAGATGGATTTCCTGACATGATATTTGAGGAACAAAATAGTTTGTCCCTTATCATGAATAAATACTGTTTCTGCCTCCAAATGTCCTTCCCTACACTCCAGCTCTCCATTCGTTGATATGATCTCCCTCTATTTCTGCCTCAATAATTGCTTTCTTCAATTGTGCAGATTTTATGCGGCAGAGGTTTTACTGGCACTCGAATATCTCCACATGCTTGGAGTTGTCTACAGAGACTTGAAACCTGAAAATGTCCTTGTCCGTGATGATGGCCACATAATGCTCTCGGACTTTGACCTTTCCCTTAGATGTGCAGTCTCACCCACCCTGATAAGAACGGCATTTGACTCCGACCCTTCAAAACGAGCTGCTGGTGGTGCATTCTGTGTTCAGCCTGCCTGTATTGAGCCCTCGTCAGTTTGCATCCAGCCTGCATGTTTTATGCCTCGTATCTTCCCTCAGAAAAGTAAGAAAAAATCCCGAAAATCTCGACAAGATCTTGGGGTGCCTGCTAGTTCACTTCCAGAGCTTGTGGCAGAACCAACAGCTGCTCGGTCCATGTCCTTTGTTGGAACCCATGAATACCTGGCCCCTGAAATTATCAAGGGGGAAGGCCATGGCAGTGCAGTTGATTGGTGGACATTTGGCATTTTCTTGCACGAGCTATTATATGGTAAAACCCCATTCAAAGGCTCCGGAAACCGAGCTACCCTGTTCAATGTGGTGGGGCAGCAGCTTAGATTCCCAGACTCTCCTGCAACTAGCTATGCTAGCCGAGATTTGATCCGAGGCTTGCTGGTGAAGGAACCTCAGCACAGGTTAGGGGTGAAGAGGGGTGCAACTGAGATCAAGCAGCATCCTTTCTTTGAAGGTGTGAATTGGGCTCTAATTAGGTGTAGCACACCACCTGAAGTGCCAAGACCAGTGGAAACAGAGCCGCCTCCTAGCAAGTTTGGGGCAGTTGACAAAATTGGGGTCGGCATTGTAGGCAGCAGCAGTAAAAGAATGGCGGCAGGGACAGACATGAAGTCTGGGGGTAAATATCTGGACTTTGAGTTCTTTTAGTACAGGCTTGTTATGCTGTATTGTAAGTGTCGTTTGTTAATCTTACAAGAACATGCCTGCATTACCCAGTTCTGATTCTGATAATCACCTTCCTCATAAGAGGTTAAAGCATCAGTTGGAAACCAGTAGCTTCAATTTACAGAGTAGTTTAGGTTTTGCCCATTGGGTTTTATAGTTGTTGAGCATCATAATCAATTTGAAGCATTACAAACCTAGTGTTTTAGTTGAGAAGCATTCTTAAGAGCTACTGCTGTCGATTAAGTTTTACAGAATGATCTATCAATGGCTAGCTTTTACCAATTCTACTACCGAGTAATGCTAGTTTTACCAGCATAATTTATTTATTTATTGAATGGATGGGTTCAATTGGTGAATCTCAAAAATCAAATGGTTAAAATATTTCGGCTAGTTACAGAGATCACAAACACAATGATAGCTGCTTCCATGGGGGTTCTGGATGTAGGTGGATATAGAGGAACTTTAGTTTCAATGGAAACGGAGGAGGAGGCTGTAAAAATACCCAAATACCCGATATGAGTAGGATGTTTCCTGACCTAATGGACTATGTTTTTTCCCCCTTAGCAACGACCCAATGGACCTTCATTGCTCAAAATTTAGATATATAAATAATTTATTATATCCATAATTTTTAATTGAACAATGTGCAGTTTTTTGTCTAATATTAGCTGGATTAACTTTATTTGATATATATATATATATAATGGATTATGTACGTTGTTTAATGAAAATTAGTATGGAAAAAAATTATGTTGACCACCTTTGAAGTTCCACATCCAACACAAACGGGTATAAGGACTCAAAATTGCCTTTCGTAGAAATGATCTAAATGGAAACATGTATAAAGATTAGGAGACTTGCGCGAAAATTGCCTCCCGTTTCCGTAGACCCTCATTGCTGTTCCTGGCTTAGTGGTTTCGGGAAGAATCTTCGGCTTCCATTATAGAAGGCTGCAGGTTTGATTTACCATTAAACAACCAAAAGATATCTCCAAATTCAATGTTTGCTTCAATGACTGAAAAATTGAGAAGGACCTCTCCCGTAGTGGCGAGGAGGAGAAAAGCATGCATAAAATTGACAAAACCTGTGTGTTACTCTTTCGAGGCAAAAAGATTTCATATTAGAAATTTAAGGCCTGCTGCATTTATAACTTTCCATTTCGTCAATTTGTTTGGTCCCCTCTCTGCTCCACTATCCTACGTACCATTGTTACAGGCCATGGCTGCATGCACCTAGACACTACAACTTCACGTCTTGTGGAGTAGTTTTACCTCTTTTGATGTCTCTAAATATCGTCAAATATGTTGTAGTGGTTTCTTGAAAGTGATCACCCATTTGGTGGTTGTCTGACACACCTTGTATCACATCTGAACTTGGGAAAGTGGACTGGGTTGCTTTGAAAACCCTAGTATTAGTAATTGCGAGGATAAATATATCATAACACAACCTACTAACTGGTTTATGTAACATTTGCTAGTTGTTGGCCTGTTGCCTTGGTTTAAAAGAAGAAGAAGAAGAAGCTAAGGAAAATCTTGAGGCATTGCCTTATAAGGCGGTAAGTTTGCCTTATAACTCAATACATGGCTTCCAGGATAGCAAGAGTATACAATGCCGATAAATAATAATTAAATTTAAAAGTGATTACAGACAAAGTTAAAACTGTTAATGCAATTGTTTGCTTATTAAAATCAATGCAAAATGATTTTATGGATATAATATGATAATTGTATTTTCGTGTCTAAAGTTGTAGATTAGAGATATTTTTATGCTTTCTTTCAGAAAAATTGCTTGTTTGACAATTGAATTTGTTTTTGAAGAAATTTTCTTTTTTTCTACATTTAATAGCAGTTTAACTTTATATGCAGCTATATTAATTTTGTGTGTTTTATTTTATTTGTGCTATGTGCAATTCACTTGACTAAATATTCGAGCAATAAAAGTTCAATAAAATCACTATTATATTATTTATAAATAATTAAATACCAAAATTAATTTATAAGTTTGTTCATCACAAATTGAGTGTACAAATACACAAAATACACTTAATATTTACTTTTTTAAATAAATATTTTTAAATCAATTCCCTCAAATAAAATAATAACAATTATATTTTAAAAGCAATAACGAGACACCTGACCGTACCATATTTTTTAAATAGAGTTTTTATGCTAATATTATTTATTATTTTGAGAATATATATATATAAAAACTTAATATACATACTTTTAAAAATTAATCTTCTCATCAATATTATAAAAATATATTTTAAATCTTAAATTTTTTATGCAATTTTTTTAAAAATTAATTGTTGCTTTATTTTCTCAATACATTCTTATAAAATAAATAATTAAATTTATACATATTTTTTAGGATTTTTGATAAATTGAAACTTGCTTTTTAAATTATTATAAATTTTATTTAAGAATTCATGTATGCTAAAAAAATCTTCTTTTTTTAAGAAGGAAGTATTTTTTAAAAAAAATCAATTAAATACAAAAATTTAATTAAAAAATTATAAAGTTAGGTAAATATTTTTTTTGCTTTCCATTTCAACGAAAACCATCGAATCATAATGATTTTATTTTTTCAAATGATTTCACCTATTGTTCTCAATCAATAGTTGAGTGGGCACAATTATCTAGTATCTTCGATTATGAACCTTTTGTCCTATTACATAATATAAATCCTATAGAAATTGTTTTTTTTTATTATTTTTTTTATTCATCTAGTGCCATTTTGTTGAGCTCCATTTGCCTAATCTTGAGGCCAAGCACACCCAAAGATCTCAAAATATCTCCCCAGATGTTTCCAGCTAATATGTTCTTGTCGCTACTAGCCGTGTGGATAGCTAAGGTACAATTGGTAAAGTAGCATGACCTTGCTTAAAGATGGCCATTTCTTCCCATCTTTCCATATTTTTAACCCACCCATCTTCTAGTTCAGTAACAGGATTACTCAACTCAAGTTAGCCGGCAGTATTTGATTCCGTAACAAAATTTAACAGACATCAAGTGTTTGGTAGGATCCTATTATTACTGTAGTATAAAGAAAGACATGCAGAGGCTTCAGATCCAAGATAAGAAAAATACGAAAAGTAACTGAACCTTTTTTTTTAATTCCTGAAGGTTAAATTATCTAATAACTGTAGTTTGAAAAGATGACTAAAATTTGCTTTTCAACAAGCAATATTGTCAGTGCAGATCCTACATATATGTTGCTGACACTTCAGTAAATGAGTGAGAACCTGACTACCAAACTGACTGTTCAATTATATTATTATTGGTTAGGCTTATTGCTTGCTGGGGAAATAAAAAATCATTGGCATTAAAAAGCCAATAATACTGGTTAAGGTAATTAGCTTCCTGTTATGGAGCAGTATAATGTGCATGAGATTCTCAAATCTCAACCACTCATTGTTTTTTTTTTTTTTTAAATTCCCTTGCATCTTTGGGTTTGGATGGAAAGCAGAAAAAGATTGTTTCTAGAAACAACCTTATTTTTAGTGTAGATTTTTGTTTAATGGTTAAGTATCTTTTAGGCAGTTTTTGTGTATTGATATTAAATCTCTTCTCAACTGGTTTTACGTATAGGTCATCCACGTATGAAGTGATACATTTTCAAGAAATTTCTTTCTTCCAATCTCTCATCAAATTTCAACCTGAAATAATCACGAAAAAAAATAAACCTAGCTTGCTCTTGAGCTAGTACTCAATCTGAAAGATTTAACACAAGTAAATTTAGTCTCATAATTGTGTATTCGTTTAGTTTTCTAAATAAAGTAAAATCAAGTCCTAGTAACTTCAAATTTTTTTTATAATCATATAAAGGGGAAAAGCTATTCCATTGTATAGCGTAAAAATTTATAGAACTCCGATGAATTAGAGAGAGAGAGAGAGAGAGAGAGAGAGTGTGTGTGAGAATTTAAATTTTTTTGATAATCATATAACGGGGAAAAGCTATTCCATTGTATAGCGCAAAAATTCATAGAACTCTGATAAATTAAAAAAAAATAGGGAGAGAGAGAGTGAGAATGACATGCTCATGCAACCAAAAAAAAAAGAAAAAGAAAAGTGGAGCTGCAAAACAAGTGAGAAATTAAGAGTAGACGATTTCCAAAATAGTCAAATTTATTGCAACTTTTGATACATTGAAGCATGTGTTTATATAAATTTTCAGCATTCATATGGGATTACGCTGCTCCATAAAAATTGTGCTTATGAGCTGTTTGTCTCATTAGAATCGGTTTTTCTACTCTTTTATCATAGAAAAAGAAATGGAAGAGGAAAGCTAGTGCCCATTTCCAAAAAGCATCCCAAACTTCAGCAGAACCAAACCAAGCCCACATAAAATGAATTACTGGTCCCCAAAAGGGCAGTGGTCTCAAAACTAAAAAGCTATAATATCCACTGTACAAAGTAACAAATGTCAGGAGCTAAAACAGTAAAAGCAAAACTCAAGAGGAAAAAGAAGTAGTATAATTTATTAATCATGCTGAAACTGTGAACCTCTGATACAACAATCCAAGCAAATTCCTGTACAGAGACATTTCCCTCCCTTTAAACTTAAAAGGGATGACAAAATCGTAAAAAAGTTGCATATATTTACGCCTCAAAAATCCCCCCAAAAAAATAATGACAATAATCATAAGAGCCCACAGCCAAAAAAATCCCCAGCCCTTACGAATTTCCAACTTAACGCAAAGGTCCAAGTAGAAAAAAATATGTATAACTATTTGATTGCGTAGGAACGGTTGCATACCAATTCAAGTGCCTCCATAAACAAGGAAGAAAAACTGGTCAATGCCTGAAAAACTCCAGGGAGGCCTGTCTGAAGATTATTCAGTGTCATTGATCTTGTCACCTCGACTGCCTTAGCATGCCTCAACATCTCATCTTCCACACGCCTTTGACAAGCTACAAGCTCCGATTTCTTTTCAGCCAGTGGATCACGAGCATCCAATACCTGTCCGTTGTCAGATCCAC